TATGAAACTGCAGTATCAACAATAAAGCAATCGCTCAGATGCGAGCGGATTTGGCCAATAGGAGAGGAATTATGTTTCATCGGACAATGTCAGATCGCACAGATAGATAGTGACTCGCTAGGAGTTCCCAGAGCTTGATTATTGAGGTTCTTATGCATCCACCATATAGTTCAGAAGGGCACCAAGTATTTACTGCCTATTCCTGCCAAAGCCGAATGATTTTGATCTGGTGAAAGCTTCGTCTCAAGAAAAGCTTGTGGAAATTGGCCGTTTCAGCAGTAGTTGGAACAAGGGTTTCTATGAGAGCGACCGTTAGTAAATTACCTTCAAAAGAGCAAGAAGTTAACGCACAAAATGGTGAGTATTTGACATAAATAAAACTTTCAATTTAATACAAAAATAATATATATATTTTTACTAGACAAATATTGGTATATGCATAGTATATATATATACGTATTTACTACAAAAATATTTACCTTTGATTACAAGAACTTTCATGTTATGTTAATTGTTTGTGTAAATACTGTTAGCCGACAATAAAAGCCGAAAAGTATGCTACACATTTAATTACTCAACATAACTGCAGGCAAAATAAAAACTAACGATTGCATGCATGTGTGTGTTTTCATGCCTTCGTACAGCTGAACAATGGACACGACAGCTATATATTATATATACATGCATATATGTATTTACGATAAGTACACAAATGCTCGAAGTCGTTAAAGCGCAAACAAAAGTTGAAAAGATTTTCAAATGCACTCAAGCGCACAACTTAATTTCTAAATAAATATATTCCTTACAAACTCAACTTTCACCTGAAGGCAAACAAATAGTTAAACAACGCGCACAAGGACACATCACAGCTTAGCTGGAAGGTAAGCAAGCAAAGAGCAAAGAGCAGCAGGCAGCAGATTGTGGCTTATCAAACATTATTTGCTTAGCAGGTATAGATAAGCAACGCACACACATACACACAAAATAACAGATCGCAAAGATATATATATGGAGCCTGCGACCAGCTTATGTAAAGCAGTGTGTGTATGTGTACGTGCGTCTGAAGCTGGACTAAGGTAATGCTTATATAAAGTTGCGTTAGTGCGAATAACAGTAAACGCATACATACATACAAATTAAGGGAGACGAGTGCCGCTTTAAAGCGCTTAAGTGTGCTTTTTATTTAAATAAGCAAATATTTACAAACATATGTAAATACTATATACTTACAACACACACACAATAACAAATATATATGATGCGCTAATATGTTGAAGTATTTATTTACCTTTGTATTTAGCTTTTATGCAAATTATAAATGATTGCATAAGTTCACCGTTGTTTTTCCAGCTTAATCAAAAACACTCACAGGGAAAGTGAAAATTCGAAAGCAGCAAGCTTGAAGCGATGACAGCGTAAGAAAAAGCAAAACAGCAACAAAACGAGAGAAGTTGGGCAGTTGTTGCAGAATGCGTAGAAATATTTGTGCTATAGATCTGTACATGTTTGGAATTCAGAGTTGCCAGATCATTTTAAACAAAACCTCAAAATTATATATATTCACTAGAAATCGCGAGAACGAGGACATGTCCTTTTTTCCACTTTATGAAGCTTTATGAACTTTTTTCTCAATTGCCAATTGTCTTTTCCCAATTTTTCAAACGAAATTCGCAGCAAAATAGACCACATGATCTTCAAATTAATGCTTCTTTATTTTACCCTGAGAAAGCTGGAATTGGCGACTCTAAAGGTATTGAAGTCATCAGCATAAGCTGACTGTTGTACTTCTAATAAAAGATTATGCTTAAACAGATTATGTCTGATGTTCCGAAGCTTCTTAATTGATTTACTTCTTCTTATCTATATTAAATGTTTTTAGACGATACCCTAACCTCTTTATCTATGAGAGCCTTGTTCCATAATATTATGTATATTTCAGTGCCATATATTTGTGGTTAGTTTAATATGAAGACATCATTTGTAATGGTCTCAAAGTATATGCGACGAGTTTGAGAAAATCTACAGACTGTATTTATATAGATTTGAATATGAGTGAGGCAAGGAAATAAAGAATTGCTGTGAAAATAAAGTATTACAAGCTGATTTATACCCTTAGAGAGCTGCACTTGCTTAAAACCCGGTGAGAAACTTTGTGTACTTAAATATCTTTCCAACAGATGTCACTGAAAGCTGTGATGAAAGCTCCAGCGTAAGCTCTACTGCACTTCTAAAGCTTGAGTTAAGCTTATAATAGTTCGAAAAATCAAAGTCACTGTGGTGCAGTATATCTGCAGTATAACAGAAAACATTTTACTTAATATAAAAGAACGCTGCCGAGTTGACAACCCTTGGACGGATGCAAGTCTCAGTTATGATCAATTTATGTCAACCAGACTCTCTTAGTAATGAACTAATTAATAGAAATAGTTAGTATATGTTATATTCACTTTCACTTTCGAAGTTAAGAGTTTCAGGGTGCGGATCGGGATAAATTCCATAGAATACCCGAACCGATTCAAAAGTTGTAATAAAATCAAATGGCAACAAAGGACTGTAGTGGAATGTCGAAAGAAGAAGAGAAGAAATAAATTATGTAAATTACTAAATACGCCGCCAGCAATTTGCTGCTTATCCATATTTATTGTGCCGCTCAACAGCGCCGGCAATGTACAACAACCAGCGCGATGCGTAAGCACAATCAGTAAAAGCTGCCGACGTTGCTGCTGCGTAAGAATCAAAGAAAATTGAAGCGCAAAAAACAAAACGAGAATGAAAATGAAAATGAAAACCGCAGAAACGGCAGAAAAACAAAAGCACGCGTTGCGGATTTGCCAAGCGGAGCATAAAAACCGCAAGCAAACAAGCGGGCAAGCGGCAGGCGTACGGTGCGGTGCTGTGGCATAAACAAAAGCAAAACTCTGGAAGGCGGAATGGTGAGTGGGAGTGGACGAGGTTGAGGCTAGCGAAAAGGCAGACAGACCAAGCAGACGGTAGACAAACAAATAAAAAAGCTGCTAGTAGTTGACCATACTGGTGCTTACTGCATATCAACAGCTACGGCAGCGCTTTTACATAACCTCAACGGCATTTCGACAAATTAAGTATTTTGCTGAATTTGTAAATTTATTTGATTTGATTTGATTATTTTTGGGTTGCCGGCAGCCGAATGTCGGTGCGTGTGCGTGTGCGTGAACAACGCTTCAATTAGTACTAGCACTTCAGACAGTCGCTAGTGGTGTTTACAATTGCGTTGCTGTTGCTGCCACGCCTCCAACTTCAGTATCTCTGGATTTGGCTGGCCACTACAATTACGCCGCTTTGGCATCTTAACTTTGCTAACAGCCACTCAGTTTGTCTGTTTAATTTACATTTACTTTGAGTTATTAGCATATTTTTAGGCGTTTCCGCGCACAAATACAGTTATGCGCCTTTAGTACACACAAAACCACAGACACATGTTTCGTAGTATTCTTCATACACATTTTATTGATTAAACACAATATTTTCGCAGTTCAGTGAGCTGTATTGCTACTCACACATACATATACATATACGCACTAGGGTGTACGTTATATCCGAAGTTGATTTTTATAGCCGGAACAAGGTACATTAAGTTTGCTACGAAGTTTGAAACACCCAGCTGCATGTATACCCTCTGTCTGCATGTATACGAACTAGTCCCACAGTTTATAAGATATCGATCTGAAACTTGCGACATGTTTATTTCTTCCCAAAAGGCTGTTAATTTGTCGCAATCGCCGATACCGGACCACTATAGCATGTAGCTATCATACAAACTGAACGATCAAAATCATGTTCTTGTATGGAAATCTTTTTCATTTGACAAAATATCTTTATGAAACTTGCGACGAATTATTGTTAAAGGCAGTGATAAAATCTCTGAAAAAATTGTTTAGATCAGACAGATCCAGCGTAAACATGCTCTTTTTATTCAATTTGAACAGCGCCTGAATTATATTTATTTATTTTAAATTTCGCATTAAGCAAGTAAATCTGGAACTTTGAAAAATGATATTCTAATACAGAATTTTCCGCTATACAAAAAAGATTCAATAAATTTCTTTTCATAAAATCATTAGTTTAAAAGTTATGCACACAAGTGATTTATGGTATAAGTACATTCTATGTTGCTCATACGACATGGTGTACTGTATGAATATAGTACATTTGATATATAATTTTAATTGCGTATAAGTTTTAAAATAATGTTTTTATGAAAAAAGCTTTTAAATCTTTTTGTAGAGCCTACAAATTTGTATTAGAATATAATTTTTTAAGAGTTGAGAATTAATTACTTTGGATAAAAAAAAAATGTATTACAAAAGATCAAAAAATCCTATGATGAATATGTGGAAAAGTAAAATCGATCCTCTCTTCTAGGACAAAAACTGACACATCAGGGATTGTTTGCAAAGAGATCTATGCGAAAAATAACGGTTATCCTAATGTATATACACACATATATAGAAACCAATCGTTTTTGTTTTCCTCTATGGCCACTAATTGATTTTGTTGCTTCATTGTATGCGCCATTAGTTTGATCGGCATTCAGTGTGGCATGCCACATTCAAATACACACAAACAAACATATGTACATATATGCGCACATTCCACTTGTAGTTATTTGGTGATAAGTAAGTATGTAATGCTTGGCTGCCACATTGACGTGTCGACTAATGGAATTCTCGCATCAATTAATGGCAAACTTGTGGCTTAAATTAAAATCTCTAATAAACAATTTGTATGATCTAATGTCCGTTTGTAAAACGATTGCTGCATATAATTCCCGAATTGATGATTAATCGAACATATACACACACACGCAAGCATTCAGACAACTATCAAAGTGATTGAAGCTTAGCGGCCGCTTAGATGTGTTGAAATTTTGTTAAGAGCTTTTGAGCTTTTAAGTTTATTTAAACATATTTGTCATTTATAAGCATATTAAAGTACAAAAACCACAATAAAATAAATAATGCAATTATACAATTTGTTTTATGCTACGAAAACTGTTGTTAAATAACCGAATAAGCTACTTCAATCAAATAGCAACTCACTGTCATGCGAAAGGTTATTGTTTGTAATTGCAATTAGTCAGCGCAATAAAACTGTGTAGCTTAGCGATAATATCTTTTATAAATTCGTCTTAGATAATCATACTTTAAGCACAGATTCAAATTCAGCTCGGATTATCTGCTCAAGCCTTATAAGTTTCGTAAGGATTAAAAATTCTGACGTGGCCCAATAATTAGGATCGACAGCAAGACTAAGAAAAAAATAGTTTTGTTTAGTAAATATATTAAAAATCTTATCATTTTACTATGTGTAACTTTATTTTTAATTATTTTTTATATCTTACATGATTGGGTCATATGAGACACCTATCGCGGTACTAAAGCGAACTCACATTTACACATCATGTGACTTTTCGGAGTCATTTGCGACAGCGGTACTAGACTTACTAAAACCACAATCGCACTCATCATGTGCCCATTTCCAACGCCACTCCTTCGATCAATTGGATTACCAGAGCTTATTGACAATTCGCTAACAATTAGCAGAGCTGAAATATTTAAAAACGAGTGCGTTATTCGCACAGGGCAAAGCATAATGGTTGTTGTGGGATAATCTTAACATAATATATGTAACACTGTCTGGCACCTACGAGAATATGATATTTGTGCACTGCTGTTTTTGTATTGAATATTTAAAGGACACAGCCTGAAACTTTGCAAGATATACTATTAAAGTCGTCTATACTTTTACCAATGCTTATCCATAAAGAAGTAAATTTGAAATTTGAAAATAGCTGAAGAAACACTTAGTTTCACTGAATATGCACTAGATTTCCCACCTGCTTTTATATTAGCATCTGGGCGGTTACAACATCTACTAAGGCAACAATGACAGAAAACAATTTAAACTCAACTATTGTTCTTCGTGAAGATCGTGCATTTACATGTTAATTACCTTAAAATTAGCGGTATAGCTAAAGCTTAAGCATAAAATATCACATTTTATCTACACATCAAACATACTTTAAGTGGGCAAATGAAGGTCTCAATTTTGCAAACTGTCTTTAATGCTGTGAGAAGTATTGCCGGTTAAGGTAAGAAGTCGATCCTAACAGGTATATCTTGGAACTGCTTAGAACGCCGGTCCGTTGTGGTATTTAAAACTCCGATATGATTGATAATAAGATCCACACAAATCGACGAAGCACTTTCAGCGTATCACAAATTTGTTGGGAAGGCTAATGTCGTTTCAACTTTGCCAACTTTCGTCCGACAAGATTTTTAGCCTGACTGCATAAATGCTGCTTTGTAGCAGTAAGTCTACTTAATAGCAGTCACTTCTGCCTGAAAAACACTACACTGGTCCGGTAGCCTAATGCCAAGATTGACGGAGAACTCCTTACAGAAAACGCCACCTCCAACCTTCCCTACTAGCTTCGACCCATCCGGGCTCACTGCTCACGTTCTGACTTACTTAACACCATACCTGAATCTGCCCTCCAAAGAATTGTTGTAGTCTAAGGACTTATGCCACTATCGAAGTTGAAGCTCTGTGTGGCTATTGACAGCATCTTTTTTGACCATTCTTGAAGAAGTTCTCTAAGAGGAGTTTCAACGACAATCAGTGACCGTCCGTTAGTTGCGATTCATTGTTGTTGTAGCGGCAGAATTTTGCGATTCATTGTTCTTTATGAGCGGTAATCGGACCAGTGAAATCATTTTATTTATCAGTATATTTCAAAGCTTTCCTGCCCACCAAGTTCATTTTTCTACTTTTATTTTAAGGATTCTTATTCTGTCCGACATGGCTACTAATGCTGCTATATCATCCAACACCTTTGTAAACATAGGCTTCTTGTCGCGGGTGCCTGCGGTTCTATCATTAGTATTTAAGAACTTAAACTCAGTTGCTGTACTAGAATCATTGGAAAGCTCATCGTTGGTACTATAATGTGAATTAAAATCTTAACTTGTAATTTCCCAAACAATTGGGAAGACTAAAATATAGAAAAGCGATTATATATCAACTTAATATTATATCATCTACTATAATTGGTGTTAGCAAATAATGAATAAATGTGTTTGAGAAGATGGCACTTTAGCGACTTTTCTTTTTCTTGGTTAGAGCTCTACATGTTCGCTATATGGGGGAACACCTGTTATTTTTTTAACTGTAGCAATCTATCAAAATAAGTTAGAAGCTTCAATTCTATTATCTGTATAGAAAACTTTCAAACTTCAGTAATTAAGAAGGCACGTATAACAGCTAGCATATTTCGGCAACATCTTTGACGAGTTACGGTAACAAGATAGATTAAATAACTGGCGAGCTTCTACGCACGTATGGTTTTCTATCACTAAAGCTCGACAAAACTGCAATACAGCTTTTATAGTGCAATATTGAAAACCTCAGTACCTAGTAATAAAGCAATAAAAAGGTTTTATTTAGAATCTCCCATTGTTCTAAGGGAAGATCATGAATTTAAATACTAATTGTTTTGAAATGCACAGAATGAAATCAAACGCAGCCAAAACTTAGGCATATGTAATGTAAGGTAATCACCTAACCAATGCTGTATTTCGCTTCAAAATAAGCTCTCATATAAGTATTTATCTTCTTATTTATTTGCAGCTGGCGTTCTCTTGTAGCCAGGTACAAGAAAAAGTTGGTGTCAGATCTGGAGCAAGCGATAGCAATATGGAGTCATGCAAATATGCATTGCGAATGTACCAAGAGTCGATTGAAACCAAACAAGGGCTCTAGAAATTAATATCGATCAAAGATGTTTTATAGCTTATATTGGCCTGCAGCTAACTAAGCTATTAGTCGTCCGTTTTTCATTGTCATACTGTCATACTGAAACCACATGTTTATATATTCCATAAAAGAGCCCTCTGTACTTATCAACCATCAAGAAACGAAAAGTACTTTTCGGCAACATCCTTGATGAAGTGAAAACTTGAAACTTGAAAACGACTGATTACAACTATGCTTTAACTGAAAATTAACACATCTCCGCACGTGATTTTATAGTACCATCTGGGAGATAAAATATCCATTAAGACAACAAAGGAATAATTTAATTTAAACTCATTATTCTTCTTCGAGAACATCGTGCATATGCATGTTAATTGCCTTAAAATTAGCAGAATCTAATCAAGTGCAGCTAAAACTTGTGCATAAAATATATTTTTAATGGCTTGGAAAACGTATTACCATAATTTGGATTCACAGCAGACCTTAAGCGTGCAAACGTGGTTTTCAATTTTCTAATACGTTTCCAGTACTTTTAGAAATTTTTATAAGACTTTAGAAACTTCTCTAACTCTCTTCTTCGCGATTTGTCTGCTCTGTTGGCCTGTGTCTGCATCTATTCTCAATATTTAGGCATGCTGATAAAGTGTGCTCTTCAATATTTTAGTGAAATATGTAGTTTGCATCACACACATTGTATTGATTGTGGTATTCGTACGAGTATATGAGATTTATGTCTACAAAAATTTAACCATACGACTTCTCATAACAATTTCTTACAATTCGAACATCTTAAAGTCACCTTTTTTACCATCACCTTTCACACAAGCCCTCCAACGATTCGACCATTGATCAATAACAGCACGCATTGGTTTTATTAGTATCAACGACGCTGCAAATTTCTGTTGGCTATTCAAAAAGCCATGTTTTCCAACTCTGACCACAAACTGTAAACAAATGGATTCAAACCTCAACTTCGAAGCATCCTGGCTAGTCAGCTGCAGCTATGATACAAGGAATATTGCTTTTAAGCCAGTGTTGGGTGGTTTTTACTTTCCGCTGGAATAAAATTGGACTTCCCGACGGCCAATCATCTACAGCTACGAAGCCAAGACTATTCCTTTTCAGCCCCTGTTGGGTGAATTTTGCCTGGTGTGCTCGAGCAGAATTTTGCTGGCAGATGCAGTGCTCTCCATTGAAAAGAGTATTGCTTAACTGCTTTATCACGCCTTTCAAAACATCCTGCTGATAGACGTTTGTATGCGTGTATGCTTTGTAACATAACTTATGGCAAGACTAAATACGTATCGGGATTAGACGAATGTTGTTTCACCAAGTTATGTCCTTCTTTTAGCTCTTGTTTTAGCAGATGTTAAGCTACCTACTGGAAATATTTGTTTTCGCATAAGAAAACTGAGCTGTGACTCTTTTACCCCAACCTCAACCAGCGATACCTGGACTCATCCGTGAGCCGGCCTCGTCATGTCATATCCCTATAGCTGTGCTATGGTGTTCACAGTAATCATCTGCTGTAACCTTTCGAACAGCAGAGCTGCATGTCAGTTCGTTGGCGATTAGAAGCACTGTGAAGTAAAAAAAAAATGTATGGAAATAGGGAGCAAAAGAAAAAAAGAGCATGAAAATTAAAGTACTTTTCGGCGATATCCTTGAAAACTATAATCGGAATCACTGAATACACAATTGCTTTAACTGTAGGTTGACCACACTCCGCATGTCCTTTTATATTACCAACTGGGAGGTAAAAATACCCATTAAGACAACAATGGAGGAAAATAATTTAAGCTCAGCTGCTGTTAAAAGCGAAGATCGTGCATTTACATATTAATTGCCTTAATTTAGGCATAGATCAATTAAGTTATATTTAAATATATAAGAAGTAGAAGGAACATTTTTGTTACCAGAAATTCGGATGCTTAAATTTGCATATTATTAACTACCAGATCTTCTATATAAATCCATTGGATTACTTTGTAAGCGTTTAGTGAAAGAAAAACTGTTGTCAGAGCCTCTTAAGTTCTTTTTACAATACCTTATCAAGGATGTTAGCGAAGAGTTCATATATATTTTTATTTGTTGGTAAGCATATATTCCACTAAATTCTCAAAACGTTTCTTATGCAGTCTAGATGAATGTTCTTTACATATATTTTCACATATATATATGGTACATAAAGTTTTTGTGTTTCTGTGTGAAAGACCGCTATAGTTCGTTATAGTTTACATGGTGATATGAAAGCGAGTGATGACGAATAGGTTTGCCGAGCTTGAGAAGCCGTAAATTCCAGCTAAGGGCTGCTGTCGGTTTCTGAGCAATTTATAAGTGTGTCTTGGGTAAAAATTCACTCCGCATAGAGCAAATTTAGTAAAGGACTTCGAAAAGATATGTGCTAAAGATTATGAGCATTAAATTACAATAGTATTACCGGGTTTTCACACATTATCATTATATTTTAGGTTTTCACTTAAGTAAGTAAACATCGATGGTTTGAAAATATTGCGATCTTCATATTTAAATTTTGTTTTTAATTATATTTGAGGTTGTAAGTAACAAGAAAATAATTGATTTTTATATATTACAGCGTTACTAATCGTAACTCAACCGTCAAACGGCTCTGCTGGTCCGCTTGCTCAAAATATAGATACCCCGCAGATACCCCCCATCCCCACAGACCCTACTGCAGCATCAACTCCTATGCCAGGTGATGGGACAGATGATGCGACCGTTGACCCTAATGCAGCATCAACTCTTATGCCAGGTGATGGGACAGGTACTGTGCTAAGTGGTATTCCAGTGGTGGTGCTTAAGGATCCTAAAGCGGAGGGTTAATGTCATATAACATCTATAGGTATTGTAGCACACAGTGGTTTGTACTTAGCTCTAACTTCAGGTAAATATGTAAAGTAAAATGGCGTAAACGACCCATAATGCCATATGAAAATTATTTAACATTTTGAGAAATTTCGAAAATATTTCAATTAAAATGTCAAAATGTAAAATATTAATTTGTTAAATGTATATTAAG